ATCTAATCTTGTATGAAATTTAAATAATTTACAATTTCCCTCTTTTAACCCATTTTTTCCATTATTCATGACTGTTTTCCTAAATTTTCAGTGCCAATCAGTTTAACGTTCTATGAAATTTCATTATTGATTTTACGTCACACCTCGTAACTCTGACTTCGTATGCACGTAGAAACTTCAAACGGTCGGATCCTTTAGTGAAAGATGTTGAAATTCACGAAACATTTGATGGACCAAACAAACAATTCTGTACGTGACGGCCAATCGTAAACACAAGGGATCCTTTTATGCTGTTATAGTAGGCAGTATAGTTGCGATTCGGTCATTGGTTGCGTTGCTACTGAACTAGCTCGGAAATGCAAATGCCATTCAGTGTCAGCCGTTACGCTTTACAGCTTAGCCAGTTTGGCTCGGAGTAACTAAACACGCCACAATATTCACGAGCCCAGACGGGGAGACTTTTTCACGAACTGAAGCAGGGAAAATTTCTGGCAAAGAAATGTCGTCTGAAAATTAGCACAGTGTTACCCATCGCCTGCTGGTTTTCTTTTTTCCCGCTATGCGTCAATGCAAAACGAAATTTTTTTTTCTGGTTCCTTCAACTTTTTCTAGAACAATTTTACGTTACACGTATAAGAGATTATTCCTTCTACAAAGACCTACTGAAAGTGGCTTCAGAGTGTGGTAGAGGCGCGCAAATTCAAGAAAGCATAATTAACGTGTTGCGTTCTGAATAAGACAGACCGCGGTGCACGTTTCCAAAGCGAATAAACGTATTAAGCTACTAATCACGCTCCAATTATTATAATCAAATATACTTCATTTGATAACAATAGTCGCTTTACGGTATAATAGAATTCGTATATTTTGACCTTTCAGTCTTGAAATACGATTTTGGTACATCATATGCAATTACAGTGTTTCTTAAGTTATTTCTATTCTTCTCTTTTGTAATTTTTTAATCACTTGATCCCTTCCTCTTTTTTCCCCGCATTACACTATAATAGACCAATTGTAATTTATTAATGTATCATATTTGACTAAAAGTAATGAAACAACCAATTTTTTATGAAAGGCTAATTTTTTTTATTATTGCGTTATCTTAAACGAAACATTTTTTTATACGTGGCTCATCAAAATTCGTTGCTAACATTAATTTAATGACGTTTCAGGTATAAAGTTCTAGGCAAAAGTTGGTAAAAAATTAAAAAATACTTAATTATATCGACGTGACAGGGTTTTGTTGGATATTGGACAAACTTGTTTCAAGTGTAAATTGATGATTAAAAAATGGATTAATTATCGATTTACCGTGAGTATTTTTCTGCATAGAAGCAAATTCCTAAAAAAAGCTGACACATTTTCGCCTGGGAACCCAGTCTAAATATATCTTGCAAAAAATTAATTTCAGATTTTTGGTCAACGTCTACAAAATGCGTTGTATAAATTCTAAAAACATTAAATTGCTATTAAAAAATAAATTCACTGAATGACTTTGTTAAATAAATATTAATGTATTAGTAAATAAAATAGTTTTTTTGATCAACCTCAAAATGCGAGAAAATAATAATATTAGATGTTGTGACGTGACTTTTCGATTCACGGTCACCAGGCGACTCCGGCTATCAATTAAGATAACGTTCTCGCTTTTTGGTTCCTTTCGAGTAGCCTCCATGCTCAGAAGCTACGCTCCCGGATTGATTCGTACAGTTACGCCAATGCTCTCGAAAGATTTGTTGTTGTTGAATAGAGGTCGAGGTGGTCGAATCTGCCGTGGAGAGATAAACCCGTATTCAGAAATCGCTTTTAGTGCTAATAGCGCATTTTTAAATTTTTTCTTAGTGACTTTTAATTACGAGCGACTCTGTTAGTGACTTTAAGAACGAGTTGTGAATACGGGCTATAGTCTCGACGTACCGAGTTGCCCGGCAGAGGAGACGACCCGACGGAGAGGTCTTCCCGGACGGGCCGAGGTCCGGGTGAGACATCGGCGCCCTGCTGGAGAGAGACAAAGGGCTGTAGAGCGGGTGAATATAGTTTTGTTACGGTTATGGGCAGAGGAGGTACCCCCTGACCCGAGATAAGGAAGTGGTTCCCAGCTGTCACCCGATGCCCTGGGGAAGCGACCGTGGAGGATCTCCAAGAGTTACGTACCGATTCGTTAAGGAACGCTCTCGATTTAGTTTAAAGGGACGACTCGAGGGAAATGATGAGAGTTACCGGCTATAAGGATCTCGACCAATCAGAATGATTAGTTCTCGAATTTGACTATTGTCAAAGCAGTATGTCTTGGGACACCGATCGAAGTGCCTCGAGCTGCCTCGCGCTCCCGTGCTATCTGTTGATAGTTTTTCTAGCTGTGTTTCCTATACGGTGTAGAAGGTTCCCGCCTGTGTACTCGCGTTGCTCTCGAGTTATCCAGAAAATTCTATGGATTTTCTGTGCGCGTTCCGAGGTGTAGTGTTGTGCCCTGGTGCAGTGCCCGCCTGGATGTCCTCTGGATGCAGTTCTCGGCCTTCACGGATTAGCTGCACCAGCTCCGGTGAGTTCTCCCAATTTATTAATTGGTGAAGGGATTTCGATTTCATATCTCCAATTCGTTCTGCTACGTCCTCGAGCAATTGCTCTCTGTTTCCGGCACTATTTGCCTGACTATTACTCCGACCCTCTCTACATCAACCTAGCAGCCTGAGCGGCCGTGCATTTGCGTAACCGTCCGCTCCCGTTCGTGCATCCAGTTCGTTTGCTGATTTTACGCGACTCCAAATATCAGCACCTACGGGTGCATTTCTCGATTTTACAAGTCTCGAAAAATCGACCGGATCCGTTAAGCTACCGTCTCTTCTGGCAGGTTCCGGTAGAGCTCTCGTATTGGCAGAGCTGAGACTGTTCCACCTCAACTCCCAGGTAATACCGGCTCGTCAATTCCCAGTGAAAAAAGAATTGACTGGTGCCCGCCTGACATGCGGATGCATGAGTGAAGGGTGGATGGCCGAAGGTAACGTAGGTTATATCCCAAAGATATTTAGTTTTCGGATTTTTGTTATCGCTGTTGGTTTAAGAAAACACGTAACGATCTATATCTCATTTCATCTCTTAACTTATCAAACACAACATTTTAACCCTAGCTGCTACCAATACTCTAGGGTCTCATAAAAGGCCCAAATGCGGTATTTTAATACGCCCCGCTACTTTGTATTCCCACTCGGCTTCTGATCATTTGTTTTTTTATTAATTAGTATATAAATCTAAAGAAAATTCTAAATAAAATATTTATCATGGTAAATTGAAAATTGATTTTGTTTCGAACTGAGTATATCTTAGAAACAACTAGATCAGATGTGGTATACAGTCAATTCCATATTTTTCAAAATTCACTTTTTGGTACCCCAGGTGGACCTGCCAGGTTTACTACATATTACATGTAAGCTACATCCAAGCTGTTGGGTATGTTCAGCAGAAACACCGCTGAGGGAGCAAATACATTCGATTGGTCAAATCTCACAAGATCTCTTCAAGATTAACGATCAAATGACCAATCAAATGTATTTACTCTGTCAGCGGTGTTTCTGTTGAACATACCCATTGGTTCCTTATTAAACATGTACCATGTTACATTAATTTTTATTACGATTATGCAACATTGAATTTTCATAACAGAGATGAATGTAACGTGTTACATATGTATACGAGTAGGAATTGATAACTTGCATGTATCTTACATGTAATGTGTATCTTACATAAAAAATTATGTATTAGCTGGATATATAAAGTCGAGAGCTCAGCTGCCAATGCAACGTTGCCATAGCAAACTTAAAAATTTCAAATTTTAATGAAAAATATTTTTTAAAACCGGGTACGTAATCGCAATGTACATTAATTGATTTGATTCGAAATAATTGTATTTTTTATTTTTTATACTCGAATTTTTTTATCAATGTCAGATTTCGCCCTTATTCCATTTAAACACGTGTAAAAGCACCGTTGCAAGAAAAGTCTGCAACTATTTTATCAAAAATTACATAACAGTTTGTACGGCCTTATCGTAAATGTTTAATAATAGAATCGTGACTGCGGGACGCGTCTGCGTTACGATTGTCACGGAACAAGAAACGACTATCACGTGGGATCAACGACAAGGCTGAATTCTAAACAAGGAGATAAGAGAAGCTTAAAAGCACCGGAGGAAGTTATTTCTTTGCACGATAACAAGAGGGTCGAGTGTCTATTCACCCAAATGTCAAGGTCTTGCGCTTTCTACACAGAAGTATCGAGGGGGATGAAATATTTCTGACGTAACAGGTTACGATATTTTATGCTTTTCGGAAAATACGGAAACTGACATAAAATCATATCCCTCTTTTTCATTTCTTAGAATTTTCGAGTTTTTATGCTACACCACCCCAGCTTACAAAAGTAACTTTCAGTTGTAACCGAAAGTCAATATATCAGAAAAACGACATCTAGTATTATAGATTGTACGAATATTTGTATGAATACGAAACCTGAGAAAAATTTTATATTAATATTCAACGAGTAACGTTTTAGATAAATTTACAATTTTTTGATAAATTTTGTTAAAAATAGTATTTGGTAATTTGTAGGTGAAAATAATATTCAGTTCGATCTGTAGCTTGTACGAATCTCTCAGGAAAGACTATTATATAATATATACGACAATGAGAATTAATATTAACAATAATTCACAAAAATATCATAAAAAATTATTTTATTAAAATTGATAGTAGGGATTTCCATAAATCTGCAATAAGGTAAAACTACAATTACACTGTGAATTTGTTGAAAAAAAAAACAATTTTTTATTAACGTTTTGAAAATTTGTGGTATATATACTATATAGATCTGTATATATACTATATACAGTCATACACCTATACTATGTACACCTATACATATACATGCTTTATCCTATGCGAACTAATGGTATCTATTTGTGCTTGAAGCGACATACAATATGGCACATGCTTTCTTACCTTTTCACATAAAAAAAATCCTCTCCATTATCCGACGACATAGAAAGCCAGTACTTTTGTCGCAAAGTCGCATATCACTGTTGCCTTCCATTAGATCCAATTAGCGTGCGTGACTGTGTGAAATTTTGACGTCCAAAATAAAAGCACTCTTCGCCACCCCTCAAAACAAACAACGATTTATACGATATAGACTAATTGCCTATGATAAAAGATAAAATAATAATTTATGATAATTCACATAAAAATCTATACTTCTTCTCTTTAAGATACCTCGAAAAAAAAAGTTCACTGTAAATTTTGCTACGTTCGAAATGGGGTCGCTCTACAATCTCTCGGTCAATTCTCACCGTTGCACCAGCTGCTAGTAGATATTCGATCGTTTGTAGCCTTTGACCGAGAGCCCGTAAGACGATCCACTGGTAATTGAAATTTTGTAATTAACATCGCCAGGAAGTCCGCTGTTCAATTAATTAACGAATCCCGAGTAGAATTGCGAGAATCAAGATGCGAGGTACATAGCTATGAACGAATACAAGGCAAATACAAAGCACTAAATTTACATGTAAGACACAACGTGCAATGCAATGTTCCGTATGAAGTTGGCTGCAAGACAATACCTGCTGGGCTGCACTGCTCGTCATTGGCCGCAGTTCAAGCAGCACGAACTCGATTTACAAGCTAAATTTCGGGAGTCGAGTTACTTTTATTTATGTTGTCTTCGAGGGGGCGGTAGGTGGAGTCACGTTTTTTATATTATTATTATCATTATATAAGTGACGTAAGAAGGTGTCAGGGTGCACTTTATGTATTTAGATAAATATTAACTCGGAAATAAATTCGGATTTTTATAAAGTTTACAAAATATTTCACTTCCCTATGGTAATTGACTAATTTTCACTAGATCGTGGCCCCTTCGTTTTTTTTTTGTGATTCAGGTAAAATGGTAGCAAAGTATGGGTTGTATATCACTTTTAAATATTACAGAAATTCTATTTTCATTCGAAGACTATATGCGAGTTTTATAAGACGTTCCTTCATTCGTCTTTGGGTCGTTGCTTCTGGACTTTAAGATGCGTCACACGTATGTAGATATATGCGTTTGGTCGTACGCGGGCAGATTTTAATTTCTTATTTCACCTTTTAACGCGATACGACGGATTTTCGTTTTCTCGTAGTAGACCGATTCGTTGACTGTCACTGAAAACAAAATTTAATATCGTACGAAAATGTGGCAATAAGGATTCTCGTGAATTTTTGTATTTTCAGAAAATATTTTCGAAAATTCGTAAAATTCTTATATATCTTATATATCGAGTTTTATTACTTTATATATGTCAAATATACATATATCGTAACGCTAGATATAGAGAAGAAATTTCTTTCACAAGTCAATCCTCTTTTAATAATATAAATAAATTTCGATAAATCATTAGCGCTTGTCGTTAAGGCATCTATCATTTCAGATCATAAAACAGAGTCCCTCGAATCAATATCCCGCGTAGAAATTTCTTAGGGCTTGCCTGACCAGAATCAGGCCCCGATCAGGCAATGTCACAGCTAGCCCTATTACGGAAAGCCTGACTTGGCCCGTATCAGGCAATTTTACGGAAACCCCTATTACGGAAAGCCTGACTTGGCCCGTATCAGGCAATTTTACGGAAACCCCTATTACGGAAAGCCTGACTTGGCCCGTATCAGGCAATTTTACGGAAACCCCTATTACGGAAAGCCTGACTTGGCCCGTATCAGGCAATTTTACGGAAACCCCTATTACGGAAAGCCTGACTTGGCCCGTATCAGGCAATTTTACGGAAACCCCTATTACGGAAAGCCTGACTTGGCCCGTATCAGGCAATTTTACGGAAACCCCTATTACGGAAAGCCTGACTTGCCCCGCATCAGGCAATTTCATGGCAAGCCCTATTATGGAAAATCTGACTTGGCCGTAGTCAGGCGTTATTCAGAGCTGCCGTATTAGGTGTGAAATCAGGCAACACTGAAATCGCCCTAATATGAAACTATATACATGTAATACAACCACCGGCCACCAGAGGGACAGGGATACCCGCAAGCAAAAGTGGGTCACTGACCCGATAAGCTCCAAACTTTATAGAATTCTGAAAAAGAGACCTTTTTACTCAGGTATTAATTTCACGTCCAACTGTAATAACCGTGTGATACAATTCAGTTACACCCTGTATATTTACATTAAGTTCGTGTAATATTAAAGACCCCCTGTTTCCATATATATATTGATACCAAAGAAGAAATAATATTATAAAACATACACTCACATATAAGCGCGAAATATTATTATTACTTTTAAGTGTTTCAAATCCCAATCAATAAACAAAAAGACAATAAAATATATTCACGGCTTTGCAATGTACTAACCTTCCCGTAACAAACGAAAAATATATATAAGGTAATTAGGGCAACATTAAAACGGCCCGGTCAGACATCCTGATCAGGGCCATATGTGACACAACGTTACAATTCGAGTCAGAGAGTGATCAGGCTGCCCTAAAAATGCCCTATTGAGGCAGTCAGGCAACCTGATCACGCCCTGATCGGGGCCGTATTAGAATTTCTACGCGGGATATTCAAAAAACAAGTCTTCAAAAAGTGGGTAAGCGTGACTGCCATCCGAAAAGCTAACGCCAGTTATTATATTAAAATTATTAAAAAGTGTTCTAGCTCTCGATCTAATTACCCTTCTGATTGAGAAACTCCATTTTTTCAATCCCTTAAACGAATCCCAAATTCGTTCAGTAAAAATTCAGCCAATTATTGGATCACGATCCCACTTCTGATAAATTGTCGCACTTCCAGTAACGAATTCGCGTTTATTTACGATCGGTATTAAATGAGATGGCGGTTACAAAGTAAATAAATCTTTATTTCGGAACTCGAACCATACGTGTCCGTTCACCATCGAACCTGTTATTTTTGTCTTTTTTATTTCTGTCAACAAGTTTCATAGCAATTGAATAACGAATAACTGAATAAGTAAATAACGATAAGGCAATATTCGATTGTCTGTATTTAAATCTGCGTTACACTGATCAGTGACTTGTACGTCGCAACAAAAGTATCAGTTGTTACGTTACGTCACAAGTACTGCTCTTATCACATGGAAAGCCTAAAACACCTTATCAGGCTAAAAGTCTAATCGTAACTGTCTGCGCTCACGACTTCAGAGCATCGACGTCCTAGTCCTTGCGATGCCTGACTTCGTTCGTCCTTTATGAAAAATCGATGTTACCTTGAAAGTTTCACGAATGCGATTATAAAAACAAACATTAAGGAATCCTTGAGACAATCGGTCCGTCTTAACTGAACTTGCTCTAATCTAATAGACGGTTCAATATTTAACTATAACTTGATAAAGAGACTAGCGTGGTACGATAAAGCTTCTATAGGGAAAGAAAGGAAAGTTCGAGGGGAAATGAAAAATAAAAATATTGCTAACATTCATGGAATAAGAAATTTATCGAAATCAATCAATAATAAATAACGTCTTCAAATCCGAACCCTTATCAATAATTAATCGTGTTAAATGCAAGAGAGAAAAGTTTCAGAGTGAAGAGGTTAGGAACTTGCGTCACGATCAATATTTTCGTTGTAAATTTATTTTTGATAGCCAGTGAAAATTGATGTATCCCTCCGTTGAATTTTTTTTTTTTAATACAATAAACTTTTATGTGCACATTTTTGCTTGGCTTTGATTTTGGTCATTGCGATTTCACGTGACGTCACAGTTTGTCGTTTCAGTCTCGGGAAATTGACAACTGGTAGGAATATTCATTAATATTGGACTGCGTCGCTAGAACAATTTTTTTATAAGAAGACACGTCAGAGCTTATAAAAGCTAACACATAGATATACATTGTAACCTGACGAACTTCATATCATGAATTTAAGAGTAAATAGCTCAATTCAAGGGTGAACTCCTTCATAAAAGGCAATAACGATGTATTTCGAAACTAAAAAAAAATTGAGAAATTCGTGAGCTCGTCGTATTAGTTTTGAACCACCGCGTCATCCCGGACAGACGCACTCGTGAACTCCGACCTAGACAAGACAGACCACAACTGGTACCAGGGAGTGCAAAACCTCAGCAACTCCACCGTCTCTTATCGCACCTAGTTCGTCGTACCTTGAAGAATGATCTCATCATGGAATGACGTAACGCCCTATCGATTTCCGTAAAAAAATCATATAAACTTGCAACATTGATCAGCTTTCCTTATTTCCGTTAACCAACCAGGTCGGCGGCGGAGGCGACCTGGGGTCAAGCTTCACGGAGCAAGAAGGGCAGATGTGACTCCTTCTCGAGAATCTCTCAGACCCACGAGTTCGTGCGAAAAGGCAACGGATCCCTGAGCAGCGAACAATTACTCTGACCAGGCACCAATCAAGAGCTGTTCCAGTTACCGACTCGATCTTACGTTCCTACATTAATTCGCCTGGATGGAGGAGGGTGCTGATTACGCCCTTAGGATAGTTCCACGCGAATGCGTTCGATCCTGACTATCACTCCTGGTGTAGCTGTAGCACAAGTTAGACGCGATTTGGTAGAGTGCTTCAGAGGTATTTTTGTAGATGTGGGAAACTGGAGAGAAAAAAAGATTTTGCACAAAAAGGGTAGTACGTTCAGTAAGGATGGCTGTCCAGAGTATTTTTTGTCAGTAATCCATGCAACTTTGCATTTCAAAAATCTCATGATGAGACGGTATAAAATTTTTATATTTCACGAAAACGGACATATTATTACAGATATGCTTGCCAGTGTTGTGGATTGCCGGGAATTTAACTTTTTTTAATTTTACACCCGGTGCATTAACGTAAGTCATTGCAGATTTATTACTTACATATGTGTGAGTCGTAATGGATACTTCAAGGCCTATCGTGCATTGTCATTGGGTCTAGGGTGAATGTAGACGGGCCGATATTGCTGTATTTTCATAAAATTGTGACGTTTCGTCGAATTTAGGGACAGTCGGTATGAAAAAGGCAACGTTGTCACGTTTAGTAACATTGTTCATGCTGGATTGTTACTTTATTTTTAATGTCGGAAAACGCGCGTAGTTCAAATGTGTTCGCGAAGGTCGAATCGTCAAGTCGTTCTGTGAACGTTTGGCGAGTGTTGAAGGATGGACTGGACCAATGGAGCACGCATAAGGGATATTGGGAAGAAAACGAAGATCCTGTGGCAAGTGACTTTTGCTTTTATCTCTTTTCTACTCGACGTAAACATTTATGTAACTGGCTATGCTAAAAGGTATACTTTTGATATAATAAACATTTGCCAGAAGTGCAGTACAGACTTTGATAATGCATTTTGTATGGTTATACTTCTATTTATACTTTTTCCGAGTGATCAACTGTAAATCAACTGTATTTGTATTTAAATACGAATCCACCGTTTCAATTGCAGATCTGAATTTCCTTACTGTTATTTCGAAATCAGTCAGTTCATAATTTTATTACTTTAAATTCCTTTATTAATTGGCTTAATTAGTAATCAGGCTCATAACCTGTCCGCATATTTTGAGCTTTTTGAAAATTTGGTTGGGGAACAGCAAACTATGTATTATATTTTAAAAATACAAAAAAATATTTATGCGAATTTCAAAATAAAATGATGTGCATTGTTTATAGTGTACTGTGTGTATGAAGAGACGATAATATGATGCGTTTTGGAATACATGAGCAAGCGTACTTTCGATAGCTTATAGAATACATAAATGCGTATGGTTAGTTATAGTATGTGGTTGGATACGCGTATACACCGTGAAGCTCTCAATGAACCAAAAAATATTCTTTGAATTTCATATTTCCAAATCCAAAGAAATGCTTTTACTTCGTGGATTACGAGATCTTTTGATGAAATATTGATTTTTGAATAGTAAAGCATTATACTCGGTATAGAAAACTAGTTCAATAGCAATATCCTTATCAGCTCAGAGGAGCGTAAAGGCTCTTCGGGAAACAGGATCAGGGTGAATGCTGGACTTCTTACGGATATCAGGGAGCAGACGATATGCAGATTCGTAAGGGGATTGTACATATCTAGCGGCCATTTTAAATTTCCTTTCACGAAAAATCTAAGTAACGTAAACGTGGCAGATATTTTTTTTCCGAACAGGAACAGAATTTCATTCGGCAGGAACAAAGAATATTCTAGTTTTACA